TTTTTTCTATTTTCTATACATTTTAACTTTAGACACATCTTAAGTATTTTATTTTAATTTGTAGAATCAGTTTGTTTTTGTCATTTGGGATCATCTTACACAAACTGTCCTGTTTGGACAAAGTTTTTAGCTTTAAAAAAAAACAAATTTCAAGTCATTTGGGAAACTTTTCGAGTCATTTTTGGCATTTTGGACTCAATTTGGGCAATTTATGAGTAAACAGCATTTGGCTTCAGAGTTACGCTGAGGAGGCAGTTTAAAGGAAAATAAAGTGATTTTAACTATTCACTATTTTTACTGAGGTCATATCTGGTTATTCTTCCTGATGGAACCACTTGTTGCACCTGATGTGTTCATGGACCAACGATAGGATGATTGTTTTGTGGATGATTAATGACTTCATTTTTATTTTTATTTATTTTACAGATAACTTATTTTTAAACCCACGAGTGTGTAAAATGTATTAAAAAGTCCTTCTGTGGTTTCTCCTCTGTCGTAGTTGCTCATCTTATATAAATAAGTAAACTTGATTTGATTTCTGACAAAAAAAATTTACTGCAAAAAATAGCAACTGTTTAAGATATTTGCTTGCTTGAATCGAGTGGAACAATCGCCTGAACTGTGTTATTTAAATGGAGGATTAATTAACTGATTAGGCTTGAGGGTAAAAAGTCCAAGTAAATAAAAGGATATTTCACCACCTGTGGACACAATTATAAATCACAAAGACATCAGGGCCATAACTAGCTATTAAATACATCACTGACTCATGCATTAGACCTTTTTTTCTAATTATAATGTATAATTTAGCGTTTCAATGGTCAGAAAATAGTGAGAAATGTTCCACATGACGTCTTTGAATGTTTAGTTTTGTCCCTGCGACAGCTAAAAACCCAAAAGCTTTTTGTTCAGAGTGATTTAAAGCAGAAAATGTTGCCGTCACAGAAGCTGCAGAACATCCAGGTTTCTGACCCGAGAGGCGACTTGGAGCGACGACCACGTGAGCCGTGCGTCGCAGGAATGCTGTGGTGTTCCCTCCGTTGTTGTGAATCTCCATCTGCTTTCAGCCGTCATCCCCAAAAAATGGTGAAACTGGACACCGGCGGGACTTAACTCCTTCACTGCCTCCACACAGACCGGATCCCCGACCAGAGACGGAACTGGACCAGAACCAGAGTAAAACACAGACATACGAGTTCCACAGAAAGACCTTTGTGCTGCTTTATCCTCCTGATATTCTGATGAATTGACCTCTGAGTTCATCTGACAGATGCAGTTTGCAGCACAAAACCTCACGACGAACTCACACAACAACAACGAAACCATCCAACAACGTATAAAACACTGTAAATGAACGTCCACTGGACTGTAATAATAATAACAATAATAATAAAACATACATAACTACAGTAACATCAGTTTTTTGGCTTCTTTTAATTTGATACTTTTATTTTTATTACTATTTTAAATGCCGAACCTTTACTTGTATTTTCATTTTTTCAGTATATTGATAGTAAAGAATACAAATACTTCATAGAAGTTCATACTTCATTTCATGTGCTGTTATTAATGACTGCAATAGTTTATGTTGCCAATATATCCTCCTTATAAAGGTATTATTATTATTGTTATTATTATTGTTAATAATAATAATAATAATAATATAATTATAACAATATTAATATTAATAATAATCTCCTGAATACTTAAGCAGATATTGTATGTATGTATATATACATAATTTCCCTTCTGGGATAAATAAAGTTTTTTTTTGTTCATTTCATTTCATTTCATATTGACCCATTCTTTTAGTTGCAGAATTAAAGATGGCCGCTGTGGCTAGCCACATGTCACAACTGTGGTTTAAAGTGTTTAAAAAATTTAAAAAAAATCTACATGCTGAATACTTGTTGAGGCTATTTCCATTCTTATCAAAGATTCAAAAGTATTCACCATGCAAAACTATTAAAAAAACATCTTGAACCCAAGTTGCGACTATTTCCTGTAGCTAGCCACAGCGGCCATCTTTGATTTATTAAACCAACTTGGTAAACGGTTTTAAATACTTTTTCATACCTCAGCATACTGAATACTTCTTAAATATTTGAGAAGAATCAAAGTACTCAGTATACACAATGAGTTAAAGCATTTATTTATAAGAAATCAAAGATGGCTGCTATGGCTAGCTACATGAAACAGTTGTAACTTGGGTTTAAAATGTTTTTACTAGTTTAGCACACCAAATATGTTTTGAGTCTATTTTCATTCTCCCAAAGTATTTCATATGCATATTAAATACTTCATGGTCTTTGAGTCTCTAGGATGCTAATTTAAAAGAAAAACACATTTATTTATAAGAAATCAAAGATGGCCGCTATTGTTAGCTACATGACACAGTCACAGCTCGGGTTGAAAATGCTTTAAATAATTCTGCATGCAGAATACTTTTTGAGTCTGTTTTCATTCTTCTCAAATATTCAAAAAGTATTCAGTCAGCTGAGTTATTAAAAACTATTTTAAGCCCTTTACTGAGTTGGTTTAAGAAATCAAAGATGGCTGCCGTGGATAGCTACAGGAACCAATTGCAACTTGGGTATAAAATGATTTTACTCATTTAGCATACCAAACACATTTTTTGAATCTACTTTCACTCTTCTCAGATATTCAAAAAGTATTTAGTATGCTGAATTATTAAAAACATGTATTTCTAAGAAATCAAAGATGGCCGCTAAGGCTAGCTACATTAAAAAAGTCACAACTTGGGTTGAAAGAGCTTTAAGTAACTTTACATACCGAATACTTTTCAAGTCTATTCTCAAATATTCAAAAAGTATTCAGTCAGCTGAGTTATTAAAAACTATTCTAAGCCGTTTACCGAGTTGGTTTGAGAAATCAAAGATGGCCGCCGTGGGTTTGTCTAATATCATTAGTTGTATTTGGTGAAACCTTCGTATCCAGCAGGTTAAACTGAATATTTTAGATATTTCAAAGGTGTTTGGAGGTTGTTGAGTCGAAATAATTCCGGTTGTGGATTCTGCTTCAAACTTTTTCATGACTTGTAAGTTGTCGTTGTTTTTTTGTTTGTTTGTTTGTTGTTGTTGTTTTTGGTTCCGTTAAACCCCGAACTACCGGATCCGGGTGTGAACCGCTGCGCTGAGCGGTTCAAGTGGGCCGAGCTGCCGGGAGGAGGAGGAGGAGGAGCGGCCCTGCCTCCTTCTCCGACCCACAACAACTTTCAGGCCACTTTTCTGCAGATTTCCTTCCATGTTTCCGTGAAAACCGTCCGCGGTCCGTCCACGCAGCGAGGCCGCCGGGGCGAAGCGAGCCGCCTGGGGGGCACCGACGGCGGCATGTCGGAGAGAACCGGAGCCGTCTGGATGTGACTGGTCGGCGGGGAGAAGCCTCCGAGGAGCCCCGCTGCTGGTAAACAACACGCGGCGGAGCGGGGCGCCTGGAGCGGGGACAGCCGGGCTCCGGGGGCCGCGGGACGGAGGCTGGACGCCGCTTCAGTCCTTCGGTCCGCGTCACGTCAAACTTTAGGAAGTTTTGCCGTTTGTGTCGCTGCGGACTTTTCCTCCAGCCGATCACAGACGGAGGAAACGAACCAGTACCGACAGTCTGTCCGGATTCACTGATGATCGAACGAGTCGCTGGTTAATCGATCAAACTTTACTGAAATCAGTCTTTTCTCGTTTAATGCATATTTTGGCTCAACGTTTGGTGGAAAATGTGTAAAACTGTGATTTAATTATTTAATATTCACTCTGGTATAGATTTAGTAAAAAATAAAACAATATATATTTAATAATCTAATGCAGCTTTAAGATGTAAATTGCCTCCAGCATTAGTTTATTAACAATAAAAACGACTTTCCTGGGTTCAGTTAAATAAAATAAAATAAACAGTATAAAGGTAACCGTCTTAAATTACAGCCTTTTTGTGCTTTTTTAATAAAACATAAGAATAAAATCAACTGAACTCATCTGAATCCCAACCGTGTTGAAGTTAACGGGCGTAAAGTTGATTAATTGTTCTGATGTGTGATTATTGATCAGCTATTATTGATGAATTAGCACGAAACAGCTTGTTTGCTTTAACGCATCGATGTATTAAAACAAATGCAGGACTTTTAACTTTTAATGTCAGATTCTTGTTAAAATCTTCTCTCAGCATCACAGAAGCTCGTTTGTAGGACTGATGAATGAAAACATGGTTTGATGAGCAGTGTGCTGATCAGCAGGAGTTCTTCCTCTTCACCTGGACTGAAGTTTAATTTGCAGCTTTATTCTGACTGTTGTTCTGTTTCTTGACGTCCTCGTGTTGTTTGTGTCTAAAGAAGAGGATGGAGGAAGAGAAGGAGACGTCAGAGGAGAAGGAGGAAGAGGAGGAGCTTCATCACCACATGGCGGCGGCGGCGGCGTCCTCCGTGGACCAGCAGGACCTTCCCATCATGCACTGGGAGGACCTGAGCCAGCGGATCGCAGAGCTGGAGAAGCAGGAGCAGGAGAGGAGGGCGAAGGTGAAGATCAGCGTTTGGTTCTGTCTCCTGTAACTGTCCGATAAATCCCACTGCAGACGTCTTTTACGCATTAGTTTCTCTCTTTTGTCAACAGACGCAAAGAAAACTTTCAAAAAAATCAAGTGAAACGTCTCAAATGTGCGTCTTTTAGTTAAAGGTTCTTGAGCAGAAGGTTAAACTACAAAGTGAGATCAGCGTGTCAGCAGCTACATGGAGCCTAGAGGCAGAGTTTACAGTGTGGATCTCTTTATCCTGCTACATCTCCACGGTAACGGATGCTGTGGAGCTATATCTCTATGGTAACTGATGCCGTGGAGTTAGATCTCCATGGTAACGGATGCTGTGGAGTTAGATCTCCATGGTAACTAATGCTGTGGAGCTAGATCTCCACGGAAACGGATGCTGTGGAGCTAGATCTCCATGGTAACTGATGCAAGCCTGGTCCAAGTCTGATGCTAAGCTACCACGTGATGCTGTGCAGCTGCATTATGGGATGCGTTGTGTGTTTGGACATCTCAGCCTCCACAGCACAGATTCCCGCCTAAAAGCAGGACGAGAACGTGTTTATTGTGGCTTCGCTGTAGATCCTCTGCAGTTCATTCACGCTGAGCTAAACAAGAACAACTTTACAGGAACAGTGAGCAGATAGCATAGCTGCAAGTTCGTCCATTTTCAGGTGGCGTGATGATCGCTGTGTTTCTGTTTGTGTTGGTGGATCTGACCCGTCTGTGCTTCTAGATTCAGACTCAGATTTTTCTCTCTTTTTGAATAGAAGAACTTTTCTGGCATAAAAACATTTTGTGCTTCGTCCTCGCTTTGCTGCACAGAAGCTCAGAGTCTGTTTAGTTCAAACCTCCCTTCAGAAAAGTGGTTTTAACGGATCTTTCCTGTTGCAGAGGGCGACGGGGGTGAAGACGGAGGACGAGGAGGAGGACTTCAGGAGGCGTCGAGTCGCCGTCGTCACGTCACGGTAACAACCTCACTGGAAGTTAAACGAAACACGTCGCGTCGGTTTGACTTTTTTGCTGTTGTTGAAGATTTTTGGCCAGAAACAGAAACTATGACCTGAAAACACAAACCTCTGAAACACTGACTCCAAAAACTGATCATTAGAAGCTTCTGCGTGTCGAGTAGATTCATTAAATAACAATTAGAGTAGAAATGAATCGTCTGATCATTTCTGAATTAATGTCACTGCCACGAAAATGACGGCTTCAAGCAACCGTTGTTTTTATTATTACATTCTGTATTTCTGACTCTTAATGAGTTTCTCTGTATTTTTCTGCTAATTTCTTGGACAAACTTTGTTGACATTTATCTGTAATTACAGGACGTCTCCAATAAGTCAGGTTTAAGGTAAATGAAAATGAGAGAGTCGACCAGAATATCTTAGACCTGTTCTGATGTTCTATGTAATATATATATAATGTTATATATCTGTTGTGTTCATGTTAAATGTGTTTCTTCAATTTCGTAAATTGTTTAAACATTTCAACAGATAAAACAAAAGGTTGCAGGTATTTCAATGAGACGTGATTCTGATGTTTTAATGAAGGTTTTAATATTTATTGCAGATTTATTCTGTTTTCATTGATGTGAAAACGTAAAACACAATTAAAGTAAATGTTGGAGATCATTTAGGAGATGAAACCGGAATACGAACCAAATAAAAGAAAATGTGGTTTTAAAACTGAGAATTTATAACAATAATAATAATAATGATGATAATAATAATAATAATAATCTGAAGGTGCTTTGAAATCCCTTTAAATCACTTCTGTTGTTTTTTTTTTAAAATCACTTTTTTCTTTCTTTATTTGCTGAATGTTTTTCTGTCTCATTTTATTATTTGTGATTTGAGCAACAGACAGTGAGTTCTGATATTTTTTATCAATTAAACTCTAATAAGATTAACATCTGTTGAGAAAAGCAGCATCTTCATCTGCATTTTTCTTAAAATCCAACAAATGTTTTAAAAAGATGTCGTGAAAAATTAAATAGTTTTAATACGACTGTTTAGGATTCAGAGTGAATACGTTCTGATGGCAGCGTCAGAATCAAACTGAAACTGTTTGAAGCCTCAGGTGAGAATAAACAGTTTGTGTTCGGTGGAGAAGAAGCGACTTCAGCAGCGCGACGTCCAACCTGTTTCTTGTGTTTCCAGATTTTCCAGCCACAGAAACCTTCAGCTGTGTTTCATCAACGACAGCGACAGCGACGAGGACGAAGGAGGCAGCAGGAAGGTGGAAACCAGCTCCATCATGACTAAACACGAGCAGAACTATTCGACCCGCTCAGGACGCAGCAGGGAATTCATGTGGAAAAAAAATGATTCCTGAGAATATTTAATCTGAATAACAAACTAGAGAATGAACTCTACTGATGTGTGCTGCTGTAATCACACATCAGGGGTCATTTATAAACTATGATATTATTTTAGGGTTTTATTTTGAAAAGCCGGCATGTTTCAGTCTCTGCTCAGACTTTTGTAACATTCTGAAACTTTTATTTTGTAATGTACATCGATGCATCCTGTTATTTTTTTCACTCTCTCTTTATTTTGAAAAGCACACGTACGAGAACTTCCTTCCAAAGACTTCTCGTTTATTCCAACGAGGATTTTTAACGCAGTTTTTTCCAAATTTCGTAAATAAAAATGAGGCGAATGCAGACAATCACATCGGAGGAACCTTTAAGCCGAGAAATACCAACAAATGAGCGTCGGCACGCTGGAATACTTTTGATGCAGCTGCACTTTTCAAGCCAACTGATCAAATATTCAACGTTTGATAAACACGAGCCGTCACAAAAAAAGTTAAAAACAGCCTGAAAACGGCGTAAAACCAGCAGATCTGAGGGATGTTTGTGCAGAAAACTGAACTCAGGCGACTCTATAAAACATTTGTGTTGATTCCAAACTGAACCACGAGTGTTTTTTACACTTTGTGTTTTATTGCGAGCTCAAAACTAAACTTTCATTCAACTGAAAGTGACACAAAAACTCAAAGTCACGTCCAAACCTTCAGCTTCGTCATATTCACGTCACTTTTTTGTAGTTTTGTGAAAGTGTGCAGATGCAACAGACAACCACTGACCTTACGCCATCCCATCTCCAGGTTCCCATGGGAACGAAACGCAACGGTTGCCATGCCGCCGGGCTGAAACAGGAAGTGGCCACGGCTCTGAGGACGCTGAGAGACGAGCTGCTGGCTGAACAGAAGGAGCAGGAGGTGAGAGAGACGAGGTGCTCGGAGACAAAGAAAAAGCAGATTTCCTGAACGATGACCTGAAGCTGTGTGTGTGTGTGTGTGTGTGTGTGTGTGTGTGTGTGTGTGTGTGTGTTGCAGCATCTGGCCGGCAGCAGCTGCGTTGCGAAGCGGAAACATCTGGAGCTTTGGGAGCTGCAGCAGCGTTCGGTTCAGCAGCTCAGCGGCCTGAAGGCGTCGCTGGAGCGCGACGTTCACGGTGAGCCTCACGGAGAAGATACTGGAGCAACAAAACCAGCTCCAACCAAAGTGTGCAGAAGGTCTCTGACAAACTAAAAGGCTCCGTATGAAAAAGGGAAAACGAAATC